GCCTAATTTTGTAGATCCTTCATTTTAGCCCGTGACATTCGCCCAACCTTATTTTATGCATACCAGGCATAAATTATAAATACTTAATAATTAATGAAGTGAATAATATTTAAGTAAAATAATAATAATAAAGTAAAAAAAATTCTTATTCTGGTATATCATCCTTAAAAGGTCACGTCATATCCTTGGCCATAAGAAAGGCATTAGCTCACTCACAACGAGTTTCGAACCCTAATCCTTTTGATTAACAGATAAGCATTCTAACTCATTTGTCCACATCAGAATAATTACTAATTTTGAAAATCTAACTCCTTAAGTTTGTAATTTGTACAACTTGATAATCCAATAGGAGAATTTCTTAAAACCTTATTTTACAAGATCTAAAAAAAATAACTTTAGTGATAATGCCTCGAAAATTCAAAAAACAACATGGACATCCTAAAAGACAAAGGTATATATATATAAGTTAATAATATATAAAAATAAAATTAATAAAATAATTAATTATATAGTAAAAAGTTTGATAAAGGAAAGCAAAAAGAAGTTATTGATGAAGTACAACAAAAAGATAAAGAATTACAATTATTATTGGATAAGTTTATACAATTAGAACAAATTGCAAAAATGCAATCAGATAAATTTCAAGAACAAGAACAAAAAAGGAAAGATCAAATAGACTATTTAACTAAATTGTTATATATAGAAGAAAAGGATAAGTATAAGGCAGTAGAAATAGAAGATTCTACATATAATACCATTAGATATTTCAGAAAAGAATCAGCTAGAAAAACAGAAGAACTTTGAAGATTAAAACAACAATTAAAACAGCATGAAAAAGATCAAGAAGCTAAAGAAGCAGGAGAAAAACTTCAAAAAGAATGGGAAGAATGGTATTCTACAAATTGGAGACTAGAAAATTCTACTAATGAATTAAGAGTAGAATTAACTAAAGAAAAACAAAATTTGCAAGTAAAATTAGAGAAAATAAAAGAACTAGAAGAAGAAATAGTAATAGTAAAAGAAGAACGACAAGAATTGAAAAATGAACTACAATGGTAAGAATAAAATTTTAACTTATAATTATTATAATTAAAATATTAATAATAAGAATTTAGGAGAAATTGGTGGATTGAAAATGTAGAGGAAAAGAATAATAAACTTCGAGAAAAATGTGAAATGTATGAAGAAAGTGAACATAGCTGGGGAGAAGTTTGTGATACTACTTCGGGTTGGGAAGAACGAGAAATTAATACTATCAAAGAAAATCTAGATGAAGAAGAAAAAAATAGTATTATCAATGAAGATAGTATACGAACAATTGGGTGGGATGAATATGTAATGGATATAGAAGAAAGATCAATTGAATTTGAAGCTGAAGAAAATGCAGAAAATAATGATAATCTTGAACACTTAAATGAAATTGCATATAGAGAATGGGAACAAGAACAAGATATAGATTCTGATAGTATGGAAGATGTAGCAGATGAAGTCCAAATGAATACTAAAGAAGTAGAAGGAAGTAGTAGATCTGAGATCCCTTGGTTTAAAAGAAAAGAAACAGATTATAGTCAAATAGAGATAAGAGCTTATTATGAAGCTCTTAAAAAACTTTTAGATGAAGAAGATTTCTGTTAGTTTCATTATATTAGTTTTAATCTTATTATATATATTATTAAATAAATAAATAAATTCTCTTAGCTTTCTTTGTAAATAATATAAAATCTTGTATAAAAATAAATAATTACTCGTAATAAAATTAGTTAGTAGTAAATTTTTTTTTTTTTTTAAATATAACTTAAATAGTAGTGTAAATTATAGATATAATATCTTTTATATTCACAGTAAGATAATCATTATAACTTAGTTTCTTCAAATTAAAATTTTTAAATTCGTAGGCTCGATTGTTGACAGAATGCCGAACTATTTCCTTCACTTGAGAATTGAAGTTACGACTAGTTACAGTTCTCAGTAGATCATCAGCTTCTATGTCATTATCAGAATCAGATTAAAAAGATTTTTCTTGATGATATTCTTTAAAATTGGCTGGTAAATCTACAATTTGAGCAATTCCCATCTAATAACGTATTCCCAAAATTTCTGTTCTTCATCTCTGGATATTTTGATCATTTTTGTAATTCTTGAAGCTATGTATGCAATATTGCTATAACTTATGTTAAGTAGTCATTTAATGACAAACAACTGAATTAGTATGTAAGAGATGATTTGCGGAGTATAATAGTAATGGTAAGTAATATGCTATTGCTTTGTCCAACAACATTATAAAGCTTTAATAATATATATTTTTCTGTTAAAGTAGATATTAAAAAAATATATATATATAAAAAATTTAAACTATAACCTTTATATACTACTCCCCTGTCTTATGTGATTCTTCTAGGATCACGCCTTTATAATCAAATCCAGTATGATTCAAATCTTAATTCTTTATCATAATAGTTTAATTAAATATTCAATAGTTAAAAATAGAATGTTTAACTTATCCTTTAGTATAATAATCCTTTAAAAAAAAAACTTTTCTTAATGCCAATTAACTTCTTGTCTCAAAAACAATGATTCTTTTATCCGAATCGATTTTCTAATCTCTCATTTTCTGTAGATAACCCTTCGTTCCAGCTTTGTTCTTGTTTTTTAGCTCGTGTTCTTATCTAATCGTTTATATGGAATATTGTAAAAGGGATTGCTTTTGGCTGATCAAAAAAAATTTTTTTTTTTTTTTATCGACTTATTTTATTTCTAACATTCGTTTTGCGCTTTTAAACTTAATTCCTTCTGTCTTAGAAGCTTTTTCTTTGTACTTGTCTTTTCTTCTGGGCTTTCCTGCAACTTGTACTTTTGTTGGTGATACTTTGATGTTTGTTCATCATCAACGTTCATGAATTGACGCTGATTACATTGCTCATAATATGTTCAGCTACTCTTTTAGCAAGTGGATGCTATAATTGAACATAGCCTATAGTGTCAGCTTGTTGATAATCACTCTGTAACTACTTGAAGTTTGTACTATGAAATCTCCCACATGTACAATGGTGCTTGATTCGCCATTTTTGATCAACCAAGTATCCATTCTTTCAAATTTTAAGGTCATTTGATTATGAATAGTAAATTGCGGCTATGAATTTAAAAAAAATGCTAATTTCAATCGTATTAATATTTCTTTCGAACAATGCTCCATTTTTTCTTGACTTGGAATGAGAGTATATCATAACTCCTGGTCCGATTTCTTTCGAGTAGGTAAATGCTTTAGCAGCGAGAAGCATCTATTGAATAGATTTTGAGTAACTCCCTATTTAATAATCGTATTCAAAATTTTCCTTTTTTCCATGTGTAAATCGTTCCATTTAATATGTGGAATTAATGCGTTTTCTTAAAGAGAATTACAGTTTTCTAATTTTAAAGCCTTATTTGGATTATCTCGTTTAGACAGAACAATCTTAAATACTTATATAGATAATTCTGTGTGAATCATCACCGTTTGAGAATTTATTCAAATGCACCAGCACTATTCAGTTCATGTGACTCCAACTATTGTCTTGACACTGTACTTCCAGTTGTCTATTTATAAATCTTTAAAGTTTGTAAATTTATCTTTATGCTACTATCGATTATCTTATATCATCTTGGCAGTTCTTTTCGTATGCCCTACGCAGTTGGTCCATTGAGAGAGTAGCATTCTTACATTGATTTGCTCATTGAGTATAATAATTAGGAGTGTCTTCGGGGTGCAATTCATTTCGTAAAAATTTTTTTTTTTTTAATTTCCAATATTTAAAATGGTATTGTTTTATTAATTTTCTTTTAATGTAGTTACAGGCTTTGGTAAAGTATTTTAAAGTCTATTGTTTATGACGATTATAATGGCATCATAACGTATTGTTATCCTAACAAAGGTAATTTTAACTTAATTCATGCCCTTTTTGTTCTTTATCCCCTTTCAAATTCTTTATCTAGAATAGTATTGTTTAACTTTCTATTTATAGGGGTTTTTATTATATTCCCTTCAATGGTACAGAGCTTATATACGCCCTTCTGAAACACCTTATGAATAACGAAAGGTCTTTTCTATTTAGGATGAAGTTTGTGACTTTTCGAATGTTGTTGAGATGCCTTGTATACTAAAACTTTATCTTCTTTCTTTAATTCCTTTATATGAGGTAAACGACTATCATGTCTTTTCTTAGAAATTCCTTGTGCCTTTTCAATTCGTTTAACGACGTCGTTTCTTACTTCAGGTAATACTTCGATTAGTTCGAAAAGTCTATGTATAAATGTTCCCTCTAATAATTCTTCATTTTCATTAGGATGAATTGGAAATCGGGCTTTTCTTCCATATACTAAGAAGAATGGAGTTATCTTTGTTGTACTTTGTTTGGCGGTTCAGTAAGCGAAAAGCACCAATGGTATTAAGGAGTCCCATTCTCTTACGTTGGTTACAAGCTTAGATATGGACTCACAAAGCATTTTATTAAAACGCTCTACTAACCCATTGGTTTGAGAATGATAAGGCATTGAATAACGTTGACTTATGGTGAATTTCTTTAGAAATTCATCTATTAGATTATTATGGAAATGGGTTCCCCTATCAGATAATAAGTATTGTGAACAACTATGGTGATATACAATATCTTCGTATATGAAATCGGCTACTTCTTGGGTGTTGGTGTTCTTGATTGCTTTAGCCTCAGGCCACTTCATCATGTAGTCGGTAACTACTACAATATACCTATTTCCCTTTGGAGTTACAGGTAATGGTCCGATGATATCAATTTCGATTTTAAAGAATGGTGCTTCTACCAGAATCGGGTGTAAGGGAGGTTTAGCTAAATTTTTTCCTCTTCTTTGACAGGCATCGCAAGTTCAAACGAACCTTCAGATATCGGTATACATTTGTGGCTAATAGTATTTCGCCCTTACTTTGTTAAACATTATATTGATCCCGAAGTGTCCTCCCAACAGGTGCATATGTATTAGAAACAAAATTGGTTCAACCTCGTATTTTTGGATAACTCTTAATACATGGTTGACCTTATGTTTATCCTTCTTGTAGACTAACTCTTTTCTGACTTTGAAGAATTTACTTTGGGTTTGTATGCTTCGTTGTTCTTGAGAGATTAATGTACGTGGTAAAGTATGTTCTGTGATGTACATTTTTAACAATTGGTATCGAAGTGACTCTATATTGAATTGCCAGGACACCAACTACCTGAACAGAATTATTCTTAAAGTCGAATTTCGTAATGGAATATCTCAAGTAGTCTTTTTCTTTCTTGGTTGATAATATATTTTCTTAAAATTGTTTTTGTGTATTACTATAGCTAATTTAACTAAATTAAACTTTGAAATTAATTAATTGTTGAATTACACTAATCAGGCCCTAATTTTTGCACAACGAATGCGACTTACAGGCAGAGAACCTTTTTACCTACTTTTTGCACAACGAATATGACTTACAGGCAGAGAACCTTTTTACCCACTTTTTTTTTTTTGTATATATTTTATTTATTTTTTTTTTAACTAATTTTCTAATTTTTCTTATTTTTAATTTTGTAGATACATTCGTGATAACGCATCTATGTTGGAGTATTTTCTATCAGCCCTATGTATGATAGAATAATTATAGGGCTGTAGTCTTAAAATCCAACGTGCTCTTTTCCCCTTTGGCTCTGAAGTGTGTAGCTATTTAAGGGCGGCGTGGTCCGTAATTAAAGTAAAGTGTTTGGCGCCTAAGTAATAGTGAAAGTGTTCGATGGCCAATACTACTGCCAAACACTCTACTTCTGGAGCTGAATAATTTCGTTCAGTTTTAGAAAGGCCCCTACTGGCATAAGCTACTATATATTCCTTGTGGTCCTTATCTTTTTGGGCTAATACTGCTCCTAATCCTACACCAGATGCGTCGGTATGCAATAAAACGTCTCCTTAAAATCAGGATATCTTAATATAGAAGCCATCATAAGGTATTTTTTTAATGTCTCAAATGCTATTTGTCGCTCTTCAGTCCACTTATAGGAGACATCTTTTTCTAACAACTTATGTAGGGGTCGAGCTATAGTAGCAAATCCTTTGATGAACCAATGATAATAAGACGCCAAGCCAATGAATCCTCTTAACTGGCGAAGATTTTGAGGTACTGGAAAGTTTTTTACTTTTTTTACCTTAGGTTCATCGGGTCTTACTCCTTCCTTGTTGATTATATGTTCAAGGTAATTAATTTCAGCCCGAAAAAAAGCGCATTTTTGGGGTTCAACTTTAATCCCGCTCTTTTTAATTTGTTAAAAATAACTTTTAAGTACTCTAAATGCTCTTCGAATTAACTTGAGTAGATATTAATATCATCAAGATATACGATGGCAAAGGTACCATTACACTCCCCTAGTACCTTATCCATCAGTCTTTGGAATGTTCCTGGTGTGTTACAAAGGTCGAAGGGCATTACCTTGAATGCGTATGTACCATACTTGGTAATGAACATGGTTTTCTCAATATCTGCCTCATTTACGCTGACTTGCCAATATCTACTCATTAAATCTAGAGTGGAAAACTATTTGGCCATCCCAAAAGTATCTAAGAGATTATTAATATGAGGTAACGGATAAGTATCCTTTTTAGTAACCGAAGTTAATTTTTGGTAGTCTACGCAAAAGCGTAGTTTACCATTTTTCTTGAGCACTATTACAACTGGGGATGCCCAAAGACTATTTATTTCTATAATAAGCCCTTGCTCTTTCAATTTATTTATTTCCTTTCTAATAAACTCATTCTCTTCATAGGTGGCTTTATAATATCCTTGTTTAATCAGAACAGCATCGCCTGTGCTAATGACATGCGTGATGACGTTAGTACACCCTAAATCCTCAAGACCTTGGGCAAACATTTCTACTTTGTTAAGAAGAAACTTGTAGATTTTTAATTTTTGTTGTATAGTTAATTCATCGTTGCTAACCATTTCTGTAATTTTTTCTTTTAGTAACCTTTCTTTTTCTTCACTACCTTCTTGTGTAGAGACTTCTATTATATTAGTGAGGTATAGTGCTGGGTTTTCTACACTACTTAAGAGTCAACTTTTAGTAGTTTCTTCTTGGTCGAATTCTTTTTTCTCATAGTCGAATTTATCAAAAGTATCTCCGCTGTCACTATAAGCATCCTCATCTTCATATGGAGTAAGACCGTCAACCCCACTATTTGAAATTGGAACCTCTGCTGATTTATCCGCATATCATAAGTACAATTTTTGCTTGTCAAAATGAATCTGAGCTTTTGTCTTTTGGAACCAATCGGTTCCTAACAATAGGGTATCATCGGACGATTCTATTACATGTAAGGTAGTAGGTACTACAACGTCTCTTATGAATAATTTTATATCCTTAATCTTTCCCAGTGTTTTGGCCTTTGTCTTGTCGCTATTATTACTATAGTAATAGACTTATCGTCTATTTTTAATCCAAGTTTATCTAATAAGCATTTCGATACTATGCTTACTGTGGCTTCCGAATCTAACACAGCTAATACCGGATTATTATGAATTCTAATGTAATATCAGGCAGCGTTTGTATGGAGGTGTTCTTTAAGGAAATTTGTTTCCTTTGATAATGGTGGCCATTTTAATATCTTAGCTAAATTCTTCCTTTGATTTGGATATTGAAGTATCTGCCCCACCATAGCACTAGTAAGTAAGGATAAAATATCATCTGCTACATTATAAGGCTTTAAGGAATCAATTATAGAAGCTCTGCACTTTCTTTTTGGTTTTGACGGAAGGGGGTTTTGTATGGTGGTAGGCATAATTTCAACATCCATATTTGGTTCTATTTCTTTTTCTTGATTTTTAGCCGTTTTTCTTAATCTATTTTCCCACTTTGGGTTTGCTAACCGCTTTG